GGCTCACCGCAACCTCCGCCTCCTGGGTTCAGGCAATTCTCCTGCCTCAGCCTCCTGAGTAGCTGGGATTACAGGCACGCACCACCATGCCCAGCTAATGTTTTGTATTTTTAGTAGAGACAGGGTTTCACCATGTTGACCAGGATGGTCTCGATCTCTTGACCTTGTGATCCACCTGCCTCGGCCTCCCAAAGTGCTGGGATTACAGGCTTGAGCCACCGCGCCCGGCCGACGTGAGGTATTTTTAAGCTTAAATTCTTATATGACTAATTTTTCAAATGCCCTCATTCACTGCTATTCCCAAATGTCACTTCCTTAGAAGAGCCTCCTTTAACTGCTTTATTTAAAATGCCTTTCTTCCAACCACTCACTCTCCATTCTTTTACTGCACTATGTTTGTCTTTATAGCCATTACCATGCATTACTTGCTACATTATTAATGATGCTTTGCTTATTGTCTCCTTTCCCCACAAGAATAGGGGCTTCATGAAGGGAGACCCTTGTCTTTCATGTTTCCCTCCTATCACCAGTGCCTAGCACATAATAGGCTCCCAATACTAAACACGGTGAAAATAAACCAAGAATGACGTCTGCCTTGCTCATCCCTGAAAATAAGATGCTGAGTGTCAGTGAAAGTAGGTGCATAGTTTTCAATTAATTCTACCCTTCCTGTACTGTATTTGATGTGTTGCATGCACTGAGCAGTTTTTTTCTTCCTTCTTTTGTGCCAAAACAGCTTAACCTTTTATTTAAGTGTCTCTGGTCCAAAAAACATTAAAATTGGGCAGCTCTAATAAATACTACTACATAATGACTCGCTCCAGTTCTCTGCAGTAATTAGTACTCTGGTGATGAAATGTGCCTCTAGGTTCAAAATTTTATAATGTTTTGACAGTTGGAATCTTACCAAGCATGAAATGAACCAATAAAAAATTCTTTTTTGTTATCATTCTCCAAGCATTAGGGGAAAAAAAATCTCAATATATAAGAGTAGCACTCTAGGAAAAAAAAATTAGTGACCCCCCTCAGACTCAAAGGGGAGGGTTTATGTAGCATTCAAATGAAGAGAAGATAAATGTAAAATCTCTGATAACTAAAAGCCACGAGCAAGTTCTATTTAACAGGCAAGTGCATCTCAATCACCTTGATTAGCAAAGCAAGATAATATGCATTAAAATCTTCATGCCAGTCAAAATTCTCATAAATACCATATTTTATTTTCCACCTTTAACTGTTTGATGATCATGGTATCTTTAATCATCTCAGATGGTTCTTTATGAAGATTGTTTATATCTGAATATAGTTTTCCTCTCAATATCCTTTCATCCCAAAGAAAATATGCATGACTCTGACAGTATTTCAAAAGCTGTTAAAGATTTCAGTTGCATCAATGGATGTCATGTGTCTTACCTAAAGTAACAGGAGCTACAATTTCAAAGTTCATCTTTACATATACTTACATGTTAAATCTTTAAAGATTCCAAGCATGTATATGAATTCAAACAGTATATTGAGAATACTCAGTAATATCTTCATGGTTTTATTCAAAATAAAAAAATACATTATTATGATGAAAAATTCTGGAGATGAATAGTGGTGATGGTTAAACAACTATGTGAATGCACTTAACACCACAGAACTGTATACTTAAAATCATGCAGATGGTACATTTCTATGTGCACTTTAACATAATACAAATTTCCCTTCATACCTGAGCATTCATTTTCTTATATTTTATTCTGAAACTTTTATGTCTTGTCTGGAAAAATTTTACAAATCATTTCCTAAATGTATAGTCTGATACACTGTAACAAGCTCTAATTAACCTTTTTGATATTTGACACTCATTCATTAATTTCCTTGAATTTTTAGGACACCAAGGAAACTTTTAAAAAATTACAGAATTGTGCCCTACATTGTGGCATCTAATTTACCACTATAAAATATGAATTTTCTTTATAAATTATGCAATAATATAGAACAAACTATGTGGTATGCAGTTTTGCACATTCTCAGTGTGTGGTGGCGCACGAGGCAGAATTCAAGAGTCCCTTAGTAAACGATATTGTAACCGTACCCCTCTAAAATGAAACGCCATGCTTATGAATTGGTTATTTTTTAATGATTAAGCTAACGAGTTCTGAACTTTTAACCTATATGGGTTTCATAATTACACAGCTTGAAATCCTCATCAGAAAATCTGTCTGCTCCTGAAATTCAAATCATTTTATAATCTTGAATAATGCATGGCAACTCTAAAGAAATTAAAACATTTCATAAAAGTAAAGAAATTCACAATCTTTTCTGTATTTTTACAGGAGTATAAAGTAACAGATATAAACTAGTTGTCACTTCCTTTGACTCCCCATCCCATCTCTTTAACAAGAAGCATCTTATTTCTCTTTACATAAACTTCATAATGGATACAGCCTCATGGTACAAATATCCCATAAATGAGCAAGTGCAGGAACAGTAGAGTTCCAGAAAAATACCATGAAAATGGAAAACCAAATACTATAAGCATGATGGTTAAGAACTCTGGCTTTGGAAACTAACAGATCTCAGTTTGAGTCTTGGCTTACTCAGGTACTGGCTCTGTAAAAGTATGCAAACCACTTAATTCTGTCCTCTGAGCCTTAGTTTACCAATTTGTAAAATGGGGATAATAGGTCTATCTCACTGGGCAATTTTAAATACACAATGAGATAATGTAAGCAATGTTTTTAGCACTGTGCCTAAACTTAATAAAGCATCAATAAAGTAAATTCCAATTACAGTCATGTAGAATATTCTAATTACAATCTTACAATTCAACAGTAACAATTTTAATGTTTAAGACTGGTTCTTCACTTAAACAATTCAACAAGAAAAAAGCAAATAACCCTGTTGGCCAGGCGTGATAGCTCACACCTGTAACCCCAGCACATTGGGAGGCCAAGGAAGGTGGATCACCTGAGGACAGGAGTTTGAAACCAGCCTGGCCAACATGTCAAAACCTATCTCTACTAAAAATACAAAACTTAGCCAAGCATGGTGGCAGGTGCCTGTCATCTCAACTACTCGGGAGGCTGAGGCAAGAGAATCGCATGAACCTGAGAGCTGAAGGTTGCAGTGCCTTCCAGCCTGAGAGACAGAGCAATACTTCGTCTCAAAAAAAGAAAAATACAAAATAAAAATAGGCAAAAGCCAAGGATGTTTTTCAAAAGAAGGCATACCAGTGGCCAAGAAATATACCTTTTAAATGCTCATCATTACCAATCACCAGAGAACTGCAAATTATAACCACAATCAGATACCATCTCACACCAGTCAGGATGGCTTAAAAAGTCAAAAAGCAACAGATGCTGGTGAGGCTACAAAGAAAAGAAAATGCTTAAACACTGTAGGTGGGAATGCAAATTAGTTCAGCCACCTTGGAAAGCAATTTGGAGATTTCTCAAAGAACTACAAATAAAACTACCATTCAACCCAGCAATCCCATTACTGGGTATAAGGACAAAAGAAAACAAATCTTTCTGCCAAAAAGACGCATGCACTTGTATGTTCATAGCAGCACTACTCACAGTAGCAAAGACATGGAATTAACCCACTTGTCCATCAATGGTGGACTGGATCAAGAAAATGTGGTACATATATGCCATGGAATTACTACACAGCCATAAAAGAGAATCAAATCATGTCCTTTGCAGCAACATGAATGGAGCTGGAGGCCATTATTCTAAGTGAATTAATGCAGAAACAGAAAACCAAACATGGCATGTTTTCACTTGTAAGTGGAGCTAAACAACACGTACTCATGAATATTAAGATGGCAACAATAGACACTGGGGACTACTAGAGGAGGAAGGTGGGGAAAACGGAAAGAGTTGAAACACTGTTGAGTACCTTGCTCAGGTACCCTGGATGACAGGATCATTGGTACCCAAATCTCAATATCACGCAATATACTCAGGTAACAAACCTGTACATGTACCCCCGAAGCTAAAATAAAAGTCGAAAAAGAAAAAAATAATAAAACTGCTTCCTTAATAAAAGTCATGTTAAATACTTTTTTTTCAATTGGTAAATACTTCTAATATTCTATGGACTTAATAAAATGCTGAAAATCAGTTAAATCCACAAGAAAATAACATTCAAAATAGACTTTCAAGATTAAAAAAAAAATGTTCAATTTGCCTTTAAGCCTTTCATATGTGTATTTCAAGGTAGATATGTTTTAAAAACAAACTACAGCTAATAACTTACCAATAATCACTTATAAAACAAATGGAAATTTTTCTTTCAAACACCAGAAATAAGAATATTCAGCTATCTAGGTAAACAGCCCAGTAAGTCCCATGAGTATGGCCATTTGCTTAGTTCTCTAGACAAGAATTCTATGCTGTATTTACAGGGTTAAAAATCCTTTTCCTAAAATATCTCAGATTTTTACACTAAAAACATGTCTTGCTTTATGTTTTAGTTATGTTAAATAGAGCACTTATCAGAATTATAGCAAAATGTTCAAGTATAAAGCAAAAGAAGGAAGCTAAAAATCCCCCTTCAGACAAGGATGGGACAAATACACACACACTGAAAATCATCTTTCAAAGAATAAATACATAGCAAAATGTGTTAAGTCAAAGAAAAGCATGTTACTACAACAATTTTGTATGAGAAAGTATAAATGTAAATATTTATGTTTCAATATGTGTATATATATATATATGAAAGAAATGTATATGCCCAGCTTTTACTAATGATTACTCTGGCTTGATGTGATTACACATAATTTTGGTATTCATCTTGGTATTTTACCACATTTAAATTCTTTTTGGACATTTAACAGGTATTAACTTTTTTAGAAATG